CGTGTATTTCTGCTATCAAGAATTATGTAATGAGGATCTATTTTTGAGTGGAACGATATAATAATGAGTAATAATTTATGTACCAAAGCAATAAAGGTCTCTAAGATCGCATTTTTGAGAACTCATTTGACTATTTTAACTCGGTATTTGGCAAATATTTTATATATTAGTGCAAATCAATGATACAAGTATGCCTATTGAAAAATGCGATAATGCCTTTGCAAAAAGTATCTTTAGGATCTAACTATAGAGAACATTTAATTGTGTACAATTAATTTTGTAGCATCCTTTCATTTTTCATGCAATTGTTTACTTCATTTTTATTATTAGTGTAATCGCTATGTTATGTATATACTGAACATTGATGAGACTACGTTCACACAAATTAATTTCACTTTTTACGATAAGTTATAAAATACAGATGTAATGACAAAGGTCTGAGTTGTTTGCAGAGAGATATTGACTGACAGTAAAATACAATAAGCCTATCGATGCGGAAATATGATAAGACTAGTGTTAAAAAAAAACATGCTTAAAATGATCCGTCGGTATTCCACAAGATAAAAATGACATCTTAGTAAAATTGTTATATCATTTTTTTTTTTTTTCATTTTTTTTTTTTTTTTTTTAATTATTATTATTATTTTTGAAAAGCAGTGTGTGTTATGACTCGTTAATGGAAGTATGGTTGCTTAATACTAGAGATTGGCCATTCTTTATATTTTAAATACTTAAGATTAGAACAACCTGTTATATGATATAGTGTATATCATTGAAATATGTACGACAGTATATAAGATCACTTTCGTATGCCATCCCAAGTGAGCAATCTTGCAAATAAACGACTTAACCTTTCCTTGAACGTATTCTGAACTAGGAACGCCTCGAATGGTACTTAAGTGATATTTTGGCTTTTATCGCACGGAATTTCCGTGAAATAAAACTCAATTACCAACTACGTAGATTTGTGCAAGAAATGATAATTGTGTCGGGAGAGTAATAAAACTAAATTGTCGTCAAGTTAAATAGATTTTAATTCTATCTGAAACCTTATTATGTCGCTGCCGAAGAACCTTTCGAGTTTAAAAATATTTATAAATGTTATTAATATGTCTCGTGCGATCAAAACATGTTGTAAAATTGTCTGAATGAACTTTATTCCTGAATGTACGCATTTGCCTTTACGTAAAGGATTTGGTTTAATATAGTGTTTGGAGCAGTACCTATAGACGCTTGCAGAAATCATGATCACAAAATAGACAAATATAGTTTGTTTTTTGTGCCAATTCTTACATATTTCATTCATTATTGTATATGAATCGGTGTGAAGAGGTGAATAAGACGTTTTAGAGTTCATTTCGTTGGATGGAAAGGTGAAATTTTAGCAATTAACCATTCAAGAGCCTTGTCCGGTATATATCGGAATACGGTATTAAGTGTGGTGCTCCAGTCATTTTTTTAGTCTCATTATTACGAATATCAAAGCACATACACATGTACTTATTTTTAATTTTAGCTTTTTGAAATGCGTGTCAACAGGATTGTGGTGTGCTGTTATAATGTACTAGAGCGATATCACTATGCAAATAATGCCTTTATGCATGTACATGTTTTAAGATATATATGAGCCCCGTCATGACAAAGCCAACATAATGGGTTTGCGACCAGCATGGATCCAGACCAGCCTGCGCATCCGCGCAGTCTGATCAGGATCCATGCTGTTCGCTATAAGTTTCTCTATTTGTAATAGGGTGTGTAAGCGAACAGCATGGATCCTGATCAGCGCAGGCTGGTCTGGATCCATGCTGGTTGCAAACCCATTTTGTTGGTTTTGTCGTGACGCGGCTCATATGGTTCTGACGACTATGCATGTGAAGATTTCAACCTAGGGTTATACTTCCAAACAACCGTTTATATCAACACAACTATTGATACATTATTAGTTATAAAGATCGTTGACTGGTTATATGACCCTATATAAACGGCTGTTTGTTAATATAACCCTAGCCGATCTTTATTACGAATTTATAATACAGCAAGCATCATTTTTAGAGCAAAAAAGTAAGTTTTCTTCATGAATCAACAGCAGCCGTGTATATAAAACTATATAAACGTCACGATTATCCAATGAAAATTGACATTACAAACGTGCAGTATTATAAAGAGCCTTATACACGGCTGCTGTCGATTCATGAAGAAATCTTACTTTTTTCTATAAAAATGATGCTTGCTGTATTATAAATTCGTTATAAAGATTGTTGACAGGTTATATGGCCGTGTATAAACGGCTGTTTGCAATATAACCATCGCCTATCTGCTCGGGTTATATTTACAAGTAGCCGTTTATATAAGGCTATATAAGCTGTCAACGATCTTTATAACTAATAATATAACCTGTCAAAAATCTTTTTAACTAATACATGTAATTTAATGATCATCATTGTTGGCTTGGCATCTTCAACTACGAAAATTAAAATAAGGATATATGATAATTTTGTTATCATTATTGTTGCTGCGGTGTACTTTGCAATATGTGTTTGTTTTTTGTGTGCGTGTGTGATTTTTTTTCAATAAAATGTCATCAAAAGATAAATTTTTACCACCGTCTTGTACATATATATATATATGTAACTAGATGAGTAATGCATGTCTTGTTTGACGAAAAAGCATCTTAGTTAACTATTTGCAATGTTTATCATGTTGTAAATTCCAACCGACAAAAAGAATATATCTTGGTAACGGGGGTGAAAATATAATAGCTGGTGTTCACGAATGAAATATATTTCAATCTTTTATGTAAAACAAATAAATTTTCTTTTTATTTCATGTTTTTTGAGAGATTTTAAGTATTTTTACTGATTATAGTTCTGTAAAATTTCTCTAACTTTGTTAAATTTTTAACATGAAGTAGGGTGACATCGACTTTCTTCTCCTAAAGAAGCAAAATTTACGCATGACGGCATTTATTTCTGCCTGTTATTCCATTTAGTTATGATTTTCTTTTCTTCCGCATTCAGATATAGTTCGGCTACAGTGAAAATTATATTTTATAAATTTCACTAGTGGTTTATCAGACTATAATCATCTGATATATTACAATAAAACACTGGAAAGCATGAAATAAACATAGCAGTTATCTCATGCATGGAAACTGCAAATTACACTTGTACGCATACCTTATAACTGTTCATAAATCTGTTGAGTTTTTTACTCGTTTCATGTGGGAGAGTAGCTCGAAGAATTAATAACAAAATAAGAACAAATCTCCGCTGTAAAATTTATTAACATAAGAAACCATATTTCTTCATTATCACATTTTTTTAAACCCTGTTACGTGAAACATTACACGCGACCTATAATAATTTAAAACAGTTTTAACATAATTAAACAATATAACAATTACTATTAAAATAATATCAAATGGTTTTGAAAATGTTTACAGAATCACAACCAAAGAAATAAACATATTATCATGTTTTGATTTGGAAAATTAAAGACCAGATTTTAAAAAACAATATCTGAAAGGAGTTTTCAGTTGAATATACCAAATATTAATTAAATTAATACACAAATTCAAATTCACGTAAAACAATAAAAGTCATTATTACATGACACATGTAGGATAGGTACGAGCGGATATGGGGACACAATTACAGAAATGAACACCAAAAGGTAATAAAGCAGCGGGTAATGGAACACAATTACAGAAATGTACACCAAAAGGTTATAAACCAGCGGGTAATGGAAACAATTACAGAAATGAACACCAAAAGGTTATAAACCAGCAGATAATGGAACACAATTACAGAAAAGAACACCAAAAGGTTATAAATCAGCGGGTAATGGAAACAATTATAGAAATAAACACCAAAAGGTTATAAACCAGCGGGTAACGGAAAAAATTACAGAAATGTACATCAAAAGGTTATAAACCAGCGGATAATAGAACACAACTACAGAAATGTACACCAAAAGATTATAAACCAGCGGATAATAGAACACAATTACAGAAAAGTGCACCAAAAGATTATAAACCAGCGGATAATAGAACACAATTACAGAAATGTGCACCAAAATGTTATAAACCAGCAGATAATGGAACACAATTACAGAAAAAGAACATAAAGTTGTCCTTTTATCAAACTTTTAATATTGTAACATTGGTTTTTCTTTCTCTATAAGATAAGTACATGCATATATGCATTTTCTATCACGTCAACCTTCTTTCCTTAAGTTCTTTAAGCCATGTACGTGCGCACGGTACCTTTAATATATTTACCGCACGTGACCACCGTGCAATATCGTACAGTTGGTGCACAGGTTTCACAACTGACAAGGTGTCCACATGGTAAGAAAACTATACAAACGTCATTAACATGACACTTTGTACATAAAGATTGTTGTTTTAACATATCATTTTCCTCCTTTAGCCTTTTCTGCTCCCTAAGATGTGCATCACCTGTAGTGAAAAATAAAATGTGATTAAGATTTTTATATTCGAGAAGAAAAACGTCAATAATTTTTGCCTTTTATATTCATATCTTTAAAATTATAATTTTATAATTATATAAAGTATATCGCTATGGTGTTTTCATTAAATACGTTTAAAAGTAATTAGCTATGGACCTTTGTTAAGACCTTTATTACGATACACCCCATACACAGAAATATAGAAGAAACAATGTTGCTCAAGTTAACGTAAATGGATTAAATTTAAATGTAAATGTATTAAATTTTTTGAAATTATTGTAGCAAATTTTAACAGAAAAGGCAAAAAAAGAATTATAGCAATTGTTGCAATAAAAATATATGCACAGATGAGAAACGTTTTGAGACCAAGTTGAACTTGAAAAAAAAATGAATGATTATAACTAAAACAAAATCAAAAGACCACATGTTTCAACACTTTTAAAAATAAATATATGTTATATTCTATTCTAAACAACATTGCTAGGTAATCATTGCTAGATAATTGTTTGTAAATAGATTTATTAGCAGTTAGACTTTGACAATGATTTTGTTGGGGGGGGGGGGTAAAAATCAAACTTATTTCTTGTTATTGTAGTGTAAAAATGCAAACACAAGATGAATTAAGTTAATTGTTACTTAAGATCATTAGATGGATAATTTATATTTTAAAATAAAAATTTCTTGCGGCTTGCGGGACTTGTCGTCTGCTTTGAAATTTCCCGTTTACTTCCGCCTGAAGACATAGTTGACACGTTCTGTTGTCTGCCTTGGCTTTCATCCCCATTTACATTCCCAGAACACGTTTTGTCGTCATCATTATGACGTGTCGCAGTTTCCTGTTGGTTCTCAGACGAACCATTATTAAGCAGTTTCTTGTTACCCCTGGCAACAGCACCACTAACATTTTTTAAAGGGGTGTTTTGAGGAGTTGTGCTTTCGTGTCTATTTCCTAAACCTTGTATTTCCTGTGTTGTTGTGGTAAATGTTTCATTGTTACTTTGGCGTGATTCTGCGTTTGCAGGTGCGAGAGCTTCTGCGTTTGCAGATGCGCGTGCTTCTACGTTTGCAGGTGCGCGTGCTTCAGTGTTTGCAGGTGCGCGTAATGCCGCATTCTCAGGTGCAGTATTTTCTTGAGATTCAGAGTCTTCGATCTCAAAGATTTTCTCCATTACGTTAGTAGCTGTTAAAATTCCATGTCCTAATAAAGATAGAAAAAAATGAAACCTTTTATTTTGTTAAAAAATTTCAATCGTTCAATATTTTGACATACATGAGAAATAAGCACAACTTGGGCAATTCCTTAAAGACAAAAAATTGAATTGATGTTAATCAGCGACTGAAGTGGATAATGTTATTATAAAAAATATAAATAATTATTTTCAATAGAAAACAACAAAGCTTCGATCTAGAAATTAGAAATAAGTATAATATAATAATTTTGATGTTAGTATTTCTATAAAATCATACTAACGAATTGTTCAAAACGTATTCAGTTCGGATGCATATATAAAAAGACTACCAACTACAGCTATCACACTCAATAATGTTTTTTTTTTCCCAGAAGTTCCAAATCGATTGAAAAGAACTCTCACATTGTATTTCAATCAATTATGGGTCCATATTTTAACCTAGCAAGCGTTATATTGTGTTTCATTTGGGAAAGCACGCATCTCAGATTCTTGGTGACTATTAACAAACATTGCTTGAGAAAGTTTACACTTTAATCACAGTTTGTTTTAAATTCATTAAAGTCTAAAAGGAAACAAAAAGAGAAAAAACAATCTAGACAATTTTTATGCAAACCTGTTGAGGACAGGACCATTCTGATAGCTCTTCTAATGACGTCAGGATGATAACCCATCTCCAAGACGCTTTGTGCAGCGTTTGTGTGCATCAGTCTATCTATGTCTGCAGACGCATTTCCGGAACCTCTGCCTGCTTATATGCAAAGTTTCGTTACGTTAAGTTATAGTATATGTAAGGAAGTTATGAAGGTAGATCTATTTAAAACTAAACAAAATATATTCAAACAAGGCTCAGTTTTGAATCTCGGAAAAAAGATATTGTTATATTTATTTTAATCCAAAGCATATTAAGTTGAATTTCTAGTTCTAATAACCACAAAAATTTCAATTTATCGATAAGCATTTGAAGTTATGTCCAATTCTTTTTAATTCTTGTATACGAGTATTTATACTGTATGCTTTCAAAGCGTTATTATTTCAAGAAAAAAATACCTATGCCTTCAGTTCCTTGTGTTGAAATTGTTTCATTTTCGGTTTGCTTAAAAATACAGAAATATATTGATGAAAATATCTAAATATTGTTTTATCTATTTTAGGTGCATTTTTTTAAAGAACATTGCATAGGTTGGACACTCGTGTCTGATACTTATTCGAATCGGCTTAACGTAATTCTAAAGAGAAATATTACAAGAACGTAATTTGGTGTGTTGACGTCATAAATAACGTCATAGCTATGACGTCGTATTACATAATAATGTTTCAATCTCAACATCTCAAACATAATACTACGTATATTTACACTATTATGTTCGATACCGACGTAGATCTGATCGATTATTAAAAAAAAACCTTGCATGTTTTCAATTAAAAATCACATAATTATATTCATACATCTTGAACATATTTTCATGTATTTTTAGATGGTATGAAAAGTATTAAAAATATAAATTAAACATATACGTTTTGTGAATACTGAACAGCCATCTGCACGATATTTACGAACTCTCTTCCTCTAATCTGTCGTACGTATGAACATTCATTTGACCATCTACTATGTTCTATCCACGGATCATCTTCTTCAGACCAATGACGTAATCCTGTAAAAATTATCAATATAACATAATACTATTATGAGGCAATATAAAAAATGCATTGTTTTAACTAGGTAATTATGCTTTAAGGATAATGAACCCGAATAAATAGGTAAACATCGACTTATTCCGGGCAGTAAAGTTATAAAACTACTTCCCATTAAGACCCAAAATTTTTTTGGTTCTAAAATATCACCTAATTTAAATTTTCCCAAAAAAGTGGGTACGGGTTTAAAAATTTTAAAAAATTGAGCCAAAGCGTTCCGGACTTTGGTTTAAAAAAATGAAAAGGGTACCCAAACCCGTTATTCTAAATTAAAAGAAGCAGTAAGAGTTTCTTCCTTCCATGTATTCCGAAAACAAAAATGCCCTTTTTAAAACTGTCGATATGGGAGTAAATCAAAATTTACATCAAATCATGAGATGTTTTTTCCCCCGAAATAAAACCATTTGTCCTTGACCTAATTTTTGTCTTATAAGACCAAAATTTGAAAATTTCATAGTAATTTTCCAATTAAAATAAAGTATATTTATCTTGGTTTTGTTGATTTTGTTCTTTAACAACTATTAGTTGTCTTAAAATAAAACAGCATATACCTGGACTATTCGTTGTCATAGAAACAATGTTTTAAATAATCATGATGAAAACAGTTAATGGGATATAGATATAGATTTACAGAAAAGGTAGAATGGTTTAAAATATTTAAACTCGAATGTGAAACAAGTTTATGCAATTTATATTAATCACTTCTGAGTTCATTTCCTGGAACCAATTAGTACTGGTGTCATCGTAAGAAACATGGTCGCGACTCAGTTAGGGCTCGAACCCATGATTTGCCACTAGGACAAAGACTAAGCAAGAAATGTACACAAGCACAAGCTATCAATCATCAAAATTGAAAAATCCTAGTCGAGGCTTCCTAAAAATGAATGTATTTTATATCTGCAATTCAGTAATGTATATAATACAAAATCAAAACAAAATGTAAACTTCATTGAATGGGGTATTAATTTGAACTTACCGACTCCACATTGGAAACATCGGACACAATCCCCAAAACCGGCGTAGAAGAAGCCGGCCTGTGCCAGGCGGTCTGGTGGTATGACGATGTCCCCACAATCATTGAAGCTCGACAACCGTGATGTCGTGCTGACATAATTAGGGTATTTTGGGGTCACAGACGAAGATACGTTTCCTATAAAAAAATGAAACACAGTGATAGAGATATATATAAAAAAACAACAACAAAGATACATGTATAACAATGAAAAACAACTATTTAAAGTCTATGACCAATCTATAACACAACTCAGCCTAATCAAATTAAACTTTTTCGGTCTAGGAAATTAGATACAAATGTACATGTATATATTATGAACTTTTTGTTGATGTCTGTTGTTCTTATTTTCGTTTTGTTTTTCTTTCGTTTCGTTTTTTATTTATCTATTTATTGATTTTTTATATGTATTTTTTATAATGTGACTAAAATATCACTACCTGTAGAATTATTTGAAGACTGGTTCTCAATAGTAGTTTGCGGAACATCAACAGGAAGTAGTGAAACAGACTGGTTCCCTCCTCTTGATGAAAGCACATTGCTTGCAAAAGATGAGTTTTCAGAGTTTTGATTCGTTTGAATTTGTGAACCAGTCACAACTGCAGACGACACATTCACTTCCGTTAATTCATTACGAAAATTGGTGTTAGACTGGCCTCTATTAATTGTTGTTAGGTTTGAGTGAGATTCTGCTGTAGAACTTTCAATACTTTGTCTTACTGAGACATTTACTTCAGAATTACGAATGAGGAAACTGCAGTTTGGATTTAATTCTCTATGTACTTCTAAAGGATTTTCGAATTCTGTCCAATTTCTTCTACGTCGCGCGCAACAATAGCAGACGACTTCATCTCCTTCGTTTGCGTAATAAAATCCTGCACCAGCCAATCTGGTAATATAAGGTTTGTTCCCTTTCGGGAAAGATCGAAGGGTGCAAAACCTTAACATTTCATATTTCATAGTTGTCTGTGGCGGAACTCGTTGTCCGTCTGCTATTTTGTTAATAACTGTCATCATAGGTTCAAAACTATGTGTTGTGTTTGATGAAAGTGTTGTGGTCTGTTGCTCAGATGTCGTATGTTGCTGTGATAGCGTCTGCTGAACAGAAGACTGCTGTACAAACGTCGCGTGCTGCTCAGATGACGTCTGCTCTTCATGTGAAATCTCGTTCCCAGCTTGGGTCTGGTGCTCATTTGTGCTTTGCTGCGCAGCTAAAGTAGAATTATTTAATGACGGCTGCGAAGACGACATCAGGAATTCTGATACAATAATTATATGTATTCAAGCCTCGATTTCGTCGAGAGATAACGAAAACTTTATTTCGATTTCCAGAGATAAAACTTCTTCTGACTTATTCTAGAATTTAACGTCTGCATCGATTTTCACATCTTTAGATCTATATTGGCACGGAATATAATTATGCTGGTAAATAATGCGTTTCACTCTGAAAATATTTGTCGCCAAGATTTGCAGCATAGGCAAATATCTGCAAACCTTCCAGAAAGAAAGTAATATAGTTAGGTTTAATTCGTAAAGTATGCGGATGATCTCTGTTGTTAACAAGTTGCATGCCTTTGCAGTTTTCGTCATCTAGGCCTTAGAAAACTTTTCCTTTTGTGAGGACAGATACGTTTCTATAACATAAAAGACGAAAATTATTTGATAAATCTACAAAATTGACCTTAATGATTGCACTAAACTTCATCCGTTTTAGATCTACTCTCAAGATTTTCAATAAATTATTTAATTGTCTGATCAAATTTACTTAAAACTATATCTTGATACTTATACAATAACGTAGGGATTTAACCTAAAAAAACTAAATGTTAAATCTAAAAATCTACTTCTATAGGAATCTAAATAGTCCCAGATTTATCTCTGTTAGGCCAAACTGAAACAACATTTCTCTCTAAGACAATAAGAATACTGCAAAATATTATCATAGTTGAGATCTAATCACAACCACATTTTGTAAAAATGAAAATGATGACCTTATAAATGTCTGACGTCATCAAAATCAAAGTATATTAGGATTCCCGTCATTTCGTAAGCTAGCTGCTCACATGATAGAATCAAATGTCTATAGTTCCTTGCGGGATTCGAACTCACAGCATTAAAGGGGAAGAGGTTTAAAGTCATCGACCTTAATCACTCGGGCACGGACATATGTAAAAGTAAATGGAACGAACGTGAGTGCAAAAGTTATTTTAAAACACAGCCAGCATTTTATTTGATTGAAAATTATGACAATATGCACGCCGGTATCACACATACGTTGTAGCTCAATCTCTTCTAGAGACGTAAATGACATAATCATGTACATGTATTATATATTATGTCTATATAGACCTAAATAGAATTTTATAAGACAAATTATTTCAAAGAGCTACGATGTTTGGAATAAAGAGTTGATGTGCCTTTGTTCGTACATGAACATCTAAGGGATCTTTAAATCCCAGCTCGAGAATCATAAAAGAGACAAAAAAAAACTAATGTTAAACTAAATATTGTGCTGAATGTCGAACCAGATTCAAATACCAGCTCAACATTTAAAAACAAGCCAACAAAAACGACTGTCGGGCTGAATATTGTGCTGAATGTCGAGCCAGCTTCACATTCCAGCTCGACATTTAAAAACGAGCCAACAAAAATGGCAGTCGGGCTGAATATTGTGCTGAATGTCGAGCCAGCTTCACATTCCAGCTCGACATTTAAAAACGAGCCAACAAAAATGGCAGTCGGGCTGAATATTGTGCTGAATGTCGAGCCAGCTTCACCATTCAGTTCGACATTTAAAAAACGAGCCAACAAAAATGGCAGTCGGGCTGAATATTGTGCTGAATGTCGAGCCAGCTTCAAATTCCAGCTCGTCATTTAAAAACGAGCCAACAAAAACGGCTGTCGGGCTGAATATTTAGCTGAATGTCGAGCCAGCTTCACATACCAGCTCGACATTTAAAAACGAGCCAACAAAAACGACTGTCGGGCTAAATATTGTGCTGAATGTCGAGCCAGCTTCACATTTCAGCTCTACATTTAAAATTGAGCAAACAAAAACGACTGTCGGGCTGAATATTGTGGTAAATGTCGAGCCAGCTTCACATTCCAGCTCGACATTTTAAAAACGAGCCAAATAAAAACGACTGTCGGGCTGAATATTAAGCTGAATGTCGAGCCAGGGTCACATTCCAGCTCGACATTTAAAATTGAGCCAACAAAAACGACTGTCGGGCTGAATATTGTGCTGAATGTCGAGCCAGCTTCACATTCCAGCTCAACATTTAAAAACAAGCCAACAAAAACGACTGTTGAGCTAAATATTGTGCTGAATGTCGAGCCAGCTTCACATTCCAGCTCGACATTTAAAATTGAGCCAACAAAAACGACTGTCGGGCTGAATATTGTGCTGAATGTCGAGCCAGCTTCACATTTCAGCTCGACATTTAAAAACGAGCCAACAAAAACGACTGTCGGACTGAATATTGTGCTGAACGTCGAGCCAGCGTCACATTCCAGCTCGACATTTAAAAACGAGACAACAAAAACGACTGTCGGGCTGAATATTGTGCTGAATGTCGAGCCAGCTTCACATACCAGATTGACATTTAAAAACGAGCCAACAAAACGACTGTGGGACTGAATAGTGTGCTGATTTTCGAGCCAGCTTCACATTCTAGCTCGTCATTTAAAAACAAGCCAACAAAAACGACTGTCGGGCTGAATATTGTGCTGAATGTCGAGTCTGTTTCACATTCCAGCTCGACATTTAAAAACGAGCCAACAAAAACGATTGTCGGGCTGAATATTGTGCTGAAGTCGATCCAGCTTCACATACCAGCTCGACATTTAAAAACGAGCCAACAAAAACGACTGTCGGGCTGAATATTGTGCTGAATGTCGAGCCAGCTTCACATTCCAGCTCGACATTTAAAATTGAGCCAACAAAAACGACTGTCGGGCTGAATATTGTGCTGAATGTCGAGCCAGCTTCACATTCCAGCTCGACATTTAAAAACGAGCCAACAATAACGACTGTCGGGCTGAATATTGTGCTGAATGTCAAGCCAGCTTTACACTCCAGCACGACATTCAAAAAGGAAACAAAACAAGAAATGTTGAGCTGAATTATGTGCTGAATGTCACTTAAACTTCACTTCTCATTTCAGCATGTTGAACTGAGTCTTTATTGTCGATCTTTGTGCGAACTTCAAAGACTTCCCTGATAGATAAAATAACTTGCCTTTACTCATTGTCCGCACCAGCCTCTGTATTCCCAAGGGGTGGGATATGGTCGGAGTTTATAAATGAGTGGTGCATAACAGCACTGTGATTATACACCACATATAATATATTATAAAACAATTCGCCCATATAAAAATAAAATGTATTTTAACATAGTAACTGGGACCAAAAATATACCTTACTAACGGTACCAGATAGTAATAAGAAATGTTTACCTTTCAGCGAAGGAAGAGGACGGGGTACAAAATAATGTCACGTAATCAGCCTGACTTTAATTAACCCTAATCCGCAATTCTTAATGGCTTGAAAAGCTGGTTATTTATTTATATCTAGATATAATTGATGATCTCAGATAAAGATATACATGCTGATATCAACAAACAAAATAATGTGTAAACACGACCATTATATCAAGCTGCATAAATGGATGAGATGTTAATTATTTCTATATCATGATTATTTAAAGCCCTTGTTGGTAATCCTATTTTGCATTATATGTGTTATTTTTAATGTTTTGATATATTATCTAAATGAACTTCCTTTGTTTAAACACAGTAGAAATGCATAGCACCAATAAAAAGATTTTTTACATGACATAATCAACTTGACAAGTAACAGGGAATGCAGCTTCCCATTCACAGTAAGTGCATTTTCTCTTATCTAAATTAGACATAATCCCTAGATTCCAATAAATTTTTGCAATGAAAATAATTATTTTACCCAAATATGACAAACATTTGTTAAAGAAAACTTCCGAATTAAGACCACGCTGTAAATAAAAATCCACTCTTTGACGAACCTTAAATGATAAAAGTACAACAGCGTAAACTCCGAATAAAGACCACTTGTCTAGAAAGACCATGTATGGTCTCCCCTTTGGATGGCCTTTATTTACAGGTTTGACTGTATATCTTTAATTAAGGACTTAATTATTATCATTATCGTTATCATTATCACCATTTTAAATATAATAAAAGATAACGTAACAGCGTATATAGTAAAGATTTATGTACAGTGTATACTCATACTGACATAGTTATCAGATCGTGTAAAATAGTTTCTTTAATAGCCGACTAGAAAGAAAATTGTTATGTGTTAATAGAAATAAGAACATAAAAACTAGCAAAAGGTACTTAAAGTATATATAATTACCTTAAAGGTTTAGTAATATCCTATAATAGCCCTTTAATTAGATATTTGGTAAACTACTTGTCGATTAGTATATATGTACACTTTGTCAGATTTGGTAAGGTTTTTTAGAACCCGCTATAATATTTTTCATGTTTATTACATAACTTTTAATTTAATTAAACAATAATAAATAGAAAATATTTTTCATCTCGATAATTTTACAAATTAATTAGCTTTTCAATATCTCTGATAAAGAGCCCTTTCAATATATTTAAGTTTTTCGACCAGGAATCAGAATAGTGTCCTTTAGTCTAAAACCATATGGTAAATTTTGTTTACATTTTGCATGCAAGTGGTCTTTAAAGTATGTAACAAAACTATATTGTCAATTTTTTCAGTTCCTTAAACAGCCTTTTAAAAGAAGGTTTTATGAGCGTAATACCTTAAAACAATAGTTATAATATCTTTTTAATGCAAAAACCAATACAGAAATATTGAGAGAACGCTGTTGTCTGTAAATACGAGCGAATATATAGACTTATTTATTATATACGTACGTACGTATATATACATAGTATAAATTTACATCTTTATTGATTAGAGTATGTAAATAGTAAACTGCATCATAAAGGTTGTATATAAATGGAACCTACGTCATTTGTCGGGGGAAATAGAAGTATTTTTACACTTTAACTTTCTTTTTTTTTCTCCAAATGATACTTATTTTCCAGAACTTGGGAGTTGATAAAAAGAACCCCTTAGTAATATTATACTCGTACTAGCAATAACTAGATATGCTAAAATAATACTGCGAATCTTTTCTACTTCTATCTGAATTAGAACATCTAAAAAAGAAAGTTCTTAATGACATGCGGGAGGGGTATGTTTTCTTTACCTGTTTTATGAGGACAGTGACCTTTTCCGTGCGTCCGTATAATTTACGACTGTCTTACTTGTAAATGATTGACTTATCAGTTGATATCGTGACACGTGACACATTTTAACATTAAATCGTGATATGTATCTTTTATAAACTTATGTCTAGTTATCACATATATATTATTTATGGATCAATATTTAATTGTAACTCAAGCGAAAATAAAGAGTTCAGTAATGATAATGTCGAGTATTTACGTATCTTTCCTAAATAAACATATATCATGTTTATTTTACAGGTAAGGTACAAAAAAACATATCAAACAATATTAATAACAGTATATATAACAAAAATGGTTGCATTAGTGGTAATGTTTAAATACATATCAATACCAAAAACATAATGTTTACACTTTTTTCCTTCTTTATACTATAATGAAAAAATCCTATCTTGAATTTAGTTCAAATCTTATCATTTCTGAAATGTAATAAAATGTAATAAAATGTAATAAAATGTAACACACCTGCTTGGCATTAATATTGTATCTATCTTAAAAGTGAACAATCTCCATTTTGTCAGTGGATTTCCATCTATCTATTTATAGATGTACTGTACTTTCATTTACAGACATATTTATATAGGTTTCTTTTTAATGAACGTGTAGTTGTACATTCTAGCGATCATATAAAAATTTATAACACACTCATGAACAAGTTTTAAATAATCTTAATAACAACTTTTGCATATACATATCTGTTGTCTTTTGAAACAACAATGCCTTAAGCTAAGATATAAGACACGTATTTAAAAATAAGGGTCAAAGATAAAGAGAATCCCAGTCTGCATATGCGCAATATGATGTGCAGTCAGTTCCTCCCAATTTTAATCTTCATCAATACATTATAAATGATGTATTTATATGTTTAATGAATGGATAAGCTTATCATTAAATGATATAAATTAGATAAAAAAATAAGCTATCAGTTAATTATTCTGATTTTTTAATTAATGTTATATAGGCCGGACAGACAGACAGACAGATATCTTTATTCACTCAAGCACATTTGTACAATATGAGGATTTTCTAATATAGCAAATATATAATACATTAGTTTTCCAGCAGTAAACATACATAATTTTGCACAATATATTTTTTTTCTTATAATGTAAACAATATGGTGAATTATTACAGTGTGTTTTCTGGGAATTCTAGATAATTTAACAGTTCATCTTGATAAAAAACAAGAAATAATAATAAAAACAAAAACAAAAACACACATATATAAAAAATGTACTAAGAGATTCAATCAAGTTATAGATACACCTTTATGCTAAAACTTTACGTTCAAATATAATTTTGAGATTTTCCCTTGATTAGTGTATGTCACGCTTCAATATAGATCTTGACCTTGGTGTATTTATTATTATTGTTATTATTACTGTTATTGGAAAACAGTAATAATAATAATAATAATAATAATAATAATAATAATAAATAAAATAAATATATTTTGAAAGAGTTTTGAAACGATAAGTTTGTAATTTAATTACGCTGTTTCAGGTAAAATTCAACAAGGTAGCATGATGAATTGTGGGTAAAAATGGCGGACGTGTTTTCAATTTTGGATCTATGTTGAAATATTTTTGGATTTATATTCAATATTATGGACATCAATTTTAGCACATTTCTAGCAAAATCAAGTATGATGCCGACAGACCGATATTCTAATAGGTTTGAGCCTCTCTCTGATAGTTATGAAGAGCAGCGCGGCAAGAGAGTTCGCCGCTCAACAGGTGGGGGATCATTACATGGACATCAGGTAGATACACCTGTTTTACAATCATTTGAAAACCTTGAAGAATTGAAGAAATTACCGAGTGACGAAAAATTAAATGTTATTCTCGAAGCTATGTCGAATATGGGCTTACTGAAATACAGACTAGATAGCATTGAATCTACAGTGTATATTAATTGTGCACGAAATGAGGTCACTGACCAACGTGTAAAACTTTTAGAATATAGGTCGATTGATTTGGAGGCCCGGGCAAGAGAACAAAACGTAATACTAACTGGTGTACCCGAAATAGCCCGAGAAAATTGTATAGATGTCGTTGCAGACGTTATTAAAAATAATCTAGATCTTGATCCTAAAACTTTTAATATTTATGACGCCTATAGATTAGGTAGAGTTTTCAAGCCACGTGCACCACATCTTTCACCAACGAAACCGCAACATAGATTTATACTTGTGTCACTTAGCCATAGAGTTGAAGCAGAAATTCTTATGCGGAATGCTCATAAACTAAAGGACACCAACATTGGTCTAACGCGTGACTTGCCTAGAGAAATCAGTGATGCGAGGAAAGCTCTGTGGCCTAAATTTAAAGCAGAGCGGGCAATACACGGTCCAAAGGAAGTACAGATAATATATCCAGCAGCACTTAAAGTCAAGGGCAAAATCATTCATGACATGTTTCCCGATTGGTATGAGACATTGAGAGGATCACGCCATACCAGCGTTCACAAACGGGTTGCAGAGACAGTAAAGCAAAACTCAGACACAATGCGCCAGGCCTTTGATACTCACTATAGAGATCAACATGTAGAGCCATGTGAATCTGAAACTATAGAGGATTTATGCCCAGACACTGACCAGAATGTCACCGCCACAGTACCTCCTTGCACAGAAGAGACCCAGACACGCGAACGCCCACTTATATCTGAACCTTATGTACATACTTCATGTGAAAAAGAATCTAAGAAAGCAAGCCAAAATAATGGACAACCTCTGTTGAGCGACCGTTTAACAAACAGTCGCACGGACAAGAATAAGTCTCCGCGAGGCAAAGGTCCTTGGTTTCGAAAAAATGTTTCCGCATCTGATGGTTCCAATTCTACGGACGTTAACCGGATTAAATCAAGCAGATACGTGAATAACAATAAAGGTCGTACTTGTTAGCACGTGCCGGGGGCAGAGACAGAGACTAATGAACTCTACTGTTAACTACAAATGGTTAAACCACATAAAAAACATATTAAACCAAACGGGCCATACATATATTTGGACATATCAAAACTCGCTCTTATTAACCAATACTTATAAGCATGTAAAAAGGGTATTAATTGATCAATTCGTACAAAAATGGCACAGTCAGCTTGAAAATTCATCTAAAGGTATAAACTATAGGCTATTTAAAAATGATATATCATTTGAAGCATATCTAAATATACTACCAAATAATCTAAGGTTCACTTTTTTCCATTTTAGAACAGGAAATCATAAATTACCTGTTGAAATAGGAAGGTGGCGCAACTCACATCTTCCATATGAAGCGCGTAAATGCAATCTTTGTATGTTAAATGAAGTCGGTGATGAATTTCACTATATGTTAGTGTGTCCTTTTTTCTGTTTTCAAAGAAAGCGATACATCCCAACTTACTTTGTCAGTAGACCAAACGTGTTGAAATTTAAGGAATTATTATCAACAGAAAATTTTGATCTTCTTAAAAATATTGTATTTTTAGCACGTTCTATTATTGAACACTTTAAGACTAATAGCTAGAACAAGACAGGCCTAACGATTTTCTAAGTTAAATCCAAATGAATTCAAGTTCTTCCTCATTTTCATATATTGCTCCCTGACTATCTTAGTAACGAACGATTTAATATTTATAGCCTTTCTTAGCGGTTGTAAATATTTGCAATATCGTAGTATTGTCTATGTACGTGAAAAGCGTGCACCTATAGTGACGTATTAGTATTTTCTCACGCCACCTGATATTCCTTTGCATTAGTTTTCATTAGTATGTATGATAATTTGATAAATAACTATACAATTTATAGAAGAAATAATAACAAAATGTGTTAATTATTTATTTTTTTTTTAGTATCATAATGCTCTACTACTCTTTTGTTACACCTTTTCTAGAAGTAAACATATATATTGTATTACATACATGTATGTACATGTACTTACTATGTATCAGTTAATCATAAATGTATATTTGGAAACATAAACAACATTTCAGCAGTTTTGACAATATAATTACTGTCCCCATGTGATGAAAAAAGTTTAAAGTAGAATTTGTATTTTGTATCATGTTACCCACTCTTTATTTTATGTTAATCAGTCATATTGTTACTGACGTGGCTTCCACAGACACTTGGAGTATAGACCCCGCCCTTCTCCGCCCCTGAATATAAAAAAGTAAAAGTATTATCTATTACAAGAATAAGTTTTAAATTTTTGCTTATATTAGTATGAGACGGTTAAGTGTCTAACACGTGAACAAGTTTCAACCGAATTTCATAACATATTAAAAAAGTCAATTTTTTACCAACGCTTCAATTTCCTGAAGATACCAAGCTTCGAAATGTAAACACAACTGACCTACATATATTTCAGGTATTTATGTTATCGCATGCCATTTATTTCTGGTGTAAATCAGTCTATGCATATATTCCTTTAATAAATAAATGCATGTTATTTTCAGATCGTACCTTTCTTCCAAGCTTTGCACTTTTAATTACATTTTCCTAACCGTGTCACATGCTTCTTTCCGAATTCATGACGACTGGAATGTTTCCCGTAAATTACAGCGGGAAAATCGCTGGGAAAAAGAAATTCAATCGCAACTACTCGGCCCTTTCCGTCAGTCTTCTTGATTTGGTTTCTGTACTGATTAGGGGAAGTAACCGCTGCGGGGTTTTGGTTCTCGGCATGAAAATGAAAGCGCAAAACAGTGCCGAAACTCATTCCAGTCGTCTCACATCAAAGGAAAGCGTACGTTGTTATCTTCATGAAATTATAATATTTTAGGGACTTTTTTAAACGTTGTTTAAATAGCGGAAAACAAGTTTTATGTTCAAGACATGTGACCAGGTCGTAATAATGTGCAAAAATATTTGGACGTACGGTTTGCACGATAAAAATACACAAGGTGTATACAAGTGCGGATCAAGGAGGGGAGCCACGCACATAACTCCAAGCGTCTGTGGTGGCTTCTAATAAAAGTGATTGTTGTTGTTGTTGTTGTATAACGGATAATTTATAATTGGCGAAAGATATAAATAGATATGCGCGCGCTCAATATGGGAAAGTTCTCACACTGAGTATATATGTACAAATGTATTCAAGTATTGCAGAAGTATCTTTATGGATTATTTTGGCGAGAAAAAGGGTAAGTCTGTAAAACTGTTATCATAAATATGATGGATGCTATATAATTAAAATTTTGCCAAGACTATACGGATAAATTTACAAAGATTCAACAGTTTGGGCACATTTGTTGAATTTATTAAGCTTTCAAAACTGTTTTCGTTATCAACTAAGTGAAAGTAATTAAGATACATGCTGCGTTGATTGTTAAAATAGCTACAGTTAAAGATGTAATGTATTTCTGTGCCTCGGGAGCCACTTGTGCACAGAGGACAGGTTCTATCTGAGAAAGCGGTACCATCATAGCGCCCGGTCTCTGATGATAGTCTTGTATTGCATGTTCTAAATTTGAAAAGGGTAATGTAGTCATTGCATGGGATTAAATTTAGGTACTTTTCATATGTAAGCGACTTTTTAAAGCTATT